TCCTCATTGTCACTGCAAGTGTGAACTGTGTTCCAACCACTATAATCCCTTCCATGTGTTTGGGTAGTTGCGGTGTCTGTGATCGGGGGACGGTCTGTCTTCTCAGTAAGTTCAAGCCTACAGACATAACCACTGATGAGTTTGATACTAAGAAGCACGACTACGGTTTGCCAACACACACAGAGCATATAGCTCAAAAGATGTCTTGCAACCTCTCCCTTCATAGAACTCCAGAAAATATGAGTTGACAACCCTGGCAAAACCACGAAATAAAAGACAAAGTATGCGCTTCAAATAACACACAATATCTTTTATGTATAGTATGTTTGCTGACAATGCATGGTCCTCTTCACAGAGAAAGAACATAACCGCAGTATGTCATTGTGTCTGGATGCTCGGGACAGAGCTGAAGGGGAAGTACTGTTGTTCAAGATGTAAGAACTGGCTGATAATAAAGGACTGTCTCTCTCTTTACATGTGGTTAGCTTTTTTCTGAGGATGTGAGACTCCTGTATGAATAGGACTTTTGTTCATCTTCTCCCAAGCTTTCATCATGTTTTCAATTAAACCTTTGATGTAGAGGATAGTTAAACCTTGCTGCTTTTCATTTATACACTGTTTTTTATTGAAAAATATATAGCTTTTAGGGCAAAGTAGGTAAGCCCGATTACCACCTGACCGTGCATGTCCATCTATAAATGTAATCTTTCTACTGGAAGATGCTGCTGAGTGCAGCTGATGGTCAAATAAGGTATTCTTGTGATTATTGTATTTTATAATACTACATATGCATGTATGATCATTAGAAAGAAAGTACAGTATATGCAGTTTGGTGTGTGTCCACGCCTGTGCATTGTGAGCCGTTAGCTTAGGCAGGGTCTCACACTGGTCTGGGCGGTTAAGTAGTGAAAAAGGCTGAGCTGTGACCTCGTTCCAGTTAACTGCTCCTGACAAAAGCAAGTCAGCCGAGTGTTAAGTGTAAGTGGCATATGCCGTCTGACTCAAATCACGTCTTATCAGATGTGCCGCGCCTCACGACCACAGGGCAGTGCCACCATCTTTATGCTCTAAGCCACTGCACTTTCAAATCAAACCACTGTTCCCCACCTTTGCTGAGCAGCAGCAAGAAGCCTCAACAATCTCGGTTATGGAATCACTCATAGTTAACCGTTTACAAGACCACCTGTACAGTTTGGGTTTGGGTGGCATTCGAAATATGTAAAACACAGGTGTCAACAATAACAGTTTTGTTTTTCCTTTCTTTATTCTTTAGCATTAATGAAATGAGATTTTTTTTAAAGCTTTGCAATATAATGATAGCATGCAGATACACCTTAAGTTAAGCATAATACTTGTGTGTATACTGCTTCTCTTAGACAGACTAATCAAAAAAGTCAGCCAAAATGATATTTTTTCTTGTTATCTAAAGATATTTTAACATTACAAAAAAATGTATTTTCATAATTTTTTGAATAATAAAGAAACAATTAAATCGCACCAGTACGGTAACCTTCGGTTTGTTGGACGCATTTGCCCTCACATCAACTGTTTCAACAAATGAGCCACTACAGCACTGTAAATACTAAACCAGCTATAATTACTGTAAGTACAGTATTAAAACAGTTGGCACTAACTGAATCAGTTGTTACTGGTTCTTGACACAGCTACTAAAAATGGTGGGATTGGCTGTGAGGTGGTACAAAAATACCCCAGTATGCTGACACCACAGGATATTTTTCATGAATGCCATAATGTAAACATATTTTTAAGATTAATGTGTACACCTAAAAAGTTATATCAAAACACTAAAGCACGTGTAAAAGATTAATTGAGACAGAGCAGTTTTTCCCCACAACCTGGTACACTGACAGTTGCTTCAGTATATTTCATGATTTACTTTTAATTTTCAGGCATCTGATTGGTTTATGATTGAGCTAACTGCTAACTAGCCTTTTTTGTTTCTCTGCTCAGTTGGTTGTTGTGTGGTCCTCAGTGTCATTCAGCTTTCTCAAGTCTCCTGTCCCACTATTGGACAAATTAAAAATCCACCATAGTCTAATATCAGCTCTCCACCCCCACACGTGTGCCTCACTATCATCACAATGTAAATCAGTGAAAAACATTGCAGGTTCAGCTGAACCCACCAAAGTGTTTTGCTAACTAAAAATTTCACCTGCAAATAAAGAATACCCCTCCAGGACAGAAATGGCAGTGCAGATGAAAGTGTTGGAATCATAAAGTGCCCAGGAATAAGAAGGAGAGGGTAGGGAGAAGGACGAGGGGCTTTCTAGCAATGAAAGATTTTGGCTGCTTTCACAAAGTGCTCCTAATCCACTCTAAACTCCATTACATGTGGGACACTTTCACTAAGAAGACACAGATAAGCTCAACAATAGCGAGGAGAGCCCATCCAAAAAAAAAAAAAAAAAAATCAACAAACATAAAGAAGGGCAGCAACCACATTTTGGGGGGAAACTATTTCAATTTTAGATATGGCACCAAACTGAAACTGGGCCACTGTATGCTTTGATGTCTCAATTGTGTGCGTGTGTGCATTTAATAGCAAAGAAACCAAAGCTTATTGATGGAACAAAAATGACAGAGACAGAGAAAAGGGAGAAAATGGAGATGTTGTGACAGAGACAAGGATAGAACAAGACTGGGAAAGTGGACAGCCAAAGAAAAAGGATGGATGAATAGAAAGAGACGAGAGTAAGATATGGCAGGGAAAAAATATGCCTCAGATATAGAAGTAAGAGTGACAGAGCTAAACTAGTGTGGAATCCCAGTTGAATAGGACTTGATTAACTGTGCCACAGGGTCAGAGCAGGGTCTCTGTCTGCTGGGGCCTGGCTTACGAAAATGATATGTGTGCATATATGTGTGAGTGTGCAAGTTTTGACTGTAATTTGCACTTTTGAAACATGTGACTGCAATTTGCAAGACACGATATACGTAAATGGTTTTTCTGGTTGGCTTAGGGCAGCTGCACTTCTCTGTGATCTGAAAGGGAGCACAGAGAAAACCTCATGAAACCTAGGATGAAGGCTTTCTGGTTTCTTACAGTATGAAAAATGTAGCATTAATGGGTGTTCATTTTGCCCTAAACACACTACAGCTTCTTGCTACGAGGCTTTTTTTCTTGATCTTGTGTAATAAATACAGTGCACACCTCACATTTACAGAGATCTGCTTTTGCCCCTCGCTAAAAATGGACAGTAGCAAAACCTTTGGTCAACAATATCTATATAGAAGAATTAAGAGTTGTAAAAGGTAGAAGGGTCATTAACTTAAAATTTTGCCTTTTGTAAGTGCCTCTTGTTGGCCCCAACAAAACAACCAGCTACTAGTAACTCACTTTTTTCCTCATTTATTTCTTTGTTTTTAATTTGAATTACAATTATAGAATATATGAAATCCACTTTATGGATATTGGATATATGGTAATGGATATTTAATTTCCTTCATCACATTTCTTCCAAAAATAGCTAACTTTAAAAAACATTTGTTAAAACGCACAATAATAAAATTACAAAGTAACTTAATGCATTTTGGAGTAACATCATATTTAAATCTATATGAGGAAACAGGTGGAATTGATTCTATTAATGTTGTAAATTTGCAATATTGTACTTTGCCTAAAATAAAAAAGCAACCCATGATGTGCATGACTCTCAAACCTCAAATGAAAATGTAATTAAAACTAATGAAAATCGGAATTTGGTCTATAATGAGAGATCTATAGTGCAAAAAACTGTCAGTTCTTTATTAAAACACAACATATAGACAGCAGTCTAAGTTCTCCAAACTTTTTCCTTTTGATACAAAAATAAACCACACTGTCCCTGCAGTGGTTCTACTGACATTTTGCAGACCACACACCTGTTGACCATTTTGGACATTTTGGATGTGAAAATCCTGCTGACAGTGTAAGATGTAGTGAATAAGGTCCCAGTCGCACCTGGCTTACAGACTGATCAGTGACCACCTAGCAACCGCTCACTGTGAGGGATAATTTAGCACTCCCTGACCACTTGCAAGTTGCTGAAGGTTGATCAAAAGTTGCTGGGAAGATAAGACCTGCATATTGCTTTCGCCTATAATTTGAATGAAAGTGATGGATCTGTCTACAAACACTGTCCAAGCTCTCCAAGCTGTACTGAAACTTTGAAAAGTGTGACATAAACCAGAAACGAAGACCATTTGCCTTCAAACCAAAAGTTTTGAAACATGCTGGCACAACTTCACAACTCGTTCTTTCGCACTTTCTTAGTAATACTGCTGCTTGGCCAATATTTGGCAAGCTTTTGCAAACAAACATGAGAAACTACAGACATTCATGGAACTCTGCTAGCAATTAAAGCTATCAGTAGGAGGTCTTCAGTCGAGCATCTTCTCTGTGACCAAATTCATCCAGCCAGTTCCAGAATCAGAATCAGAAAGACTTTATTTATTCCCATGGGGCAATTAACAGTAGTGGTTCCTTTCTAGTCGGGGAATAAATATATTTTAGCTAACAACAAATCACATGAGAAACTTCATTACCCCATCTGGGGACATCTATTCAATTCAATTCAATTCAATTTTATTTATATAGCGCCAAATCACAGCATAAGTTGCCTCAAGGCGCTTCATAGATACAGAGAAAAAAACCCAACAATCATATGACCCCCTATGAGCAAGCACTTTGGCAACAGTGGGAAGGAAAAACTCCCTTTTAACAGGAAGAAACCTCCGGCAGAACCAGGCTCAGGGAGGGGCGGCCATCTGCTGCGACCGGTTGGGGTGAGAAACCTTTGGGCTAACCACGAGAGTTCCAGGTTTAAACTATTTCAGGTATTAGAAAGTGCAAGCAACAGCTATGGCTGTGAGTATCAAAGAAATATATCTTTTGGTTTATCAGAAAGTGAGCAGATAACTTGTTGTCAGTATGCTTACTAATCTCTATAAAATCATCCTTAAAATGTAAACTTTTAAAAGTGTCTCTTAACAGGCCTCACCTGGGGGCTAACGCTAGGACCGTAGCCCATGCCAGGTGAGTTCATGGAGTGAGGGCCCATGGGTGAGCTGATGACAGAGAAGGGTGAAGCCAGGCCATTCATTGGAGAGCTCAGCGTACTGATGGGAGAGTGGAGAGGGCCTGAGGGCCCCATGGACGTTGGGCTGAGTAGAGATGGGTGCATTCCACGGTGGGAGGTTGGTGATCCCAAGGGCGAAGAGGTCACCTGGCCTGATGAATCTGTTCAGGAAAAAAAACAAAAAACAGAAAGATTACACATTTTATCTTGACGATTCCAATGAGCAAAGAAAATCACTGATAATAAACACGGGTAATTCTTACCATCCCGTCATATTTTCTTATGATAATAAGGTCTTTTGAGTTTGCCTTCATAAGAGTTTCAAAGCAAAATGAGACAGGAAAAACCTGATGCAAGGCTTCACAATTTGGACCAAAAAGCCACTTTGATAACTAAGTTTTGAATAAACACTCAGAATTCTTCAAAACAACGCTCTCACACTTGGTTTCTTCCAGCCAGGGTCGTTGGCACCGCAAGGCTAGCACATCTGGTAAAGTGTGAAGGCAGTTCTTTAATGTGAGTGCTGTGCAGGAAAATGGACAATTCAGCAAAAAACACTTAAGACAATTAAATCCAACAATCACCAATAGTGGAAAAACCACAAAGTCAGCGGCTGAAGGGTTGTGGGTATGGGCAGAATGTCATGAAAAGCTTGTGTACATGAACCGGGTGTTGGTTTTCTTTACTCTGCTGTTTTTCTCCACCATCATTTTTGATGGATTAACATATCCTGGGAAACTTACAAGTAATGTACCAACCATAAATGGACATAGTTTCCAGGTCTGAAAAGTGAAGCCAGCGTAAAAGTGCCTTAAACTCATGTAGTTCCAAAAAAGACTTGTGGTTGCTTAGAAGTGTATGGAAAGTGACATTCGGCTTTCTTAATCTGCAACTTCATTAAACACTTTCCTGATGAGTCTCACCTGCTAGTCTCAGGTCAAACTGAACAGAAGATTAAATCCATTTGTTCAACTGTGGTCCGTCTAAGAGTCACAAAGGAGAATAATCCAGGAAAGGCTTGCTAGCTAATGATTTGTCAACCATAAATCATTAGCCAGCGAGTGCACAGTTTCACAATCTCATTCATCCCTAAGTCACTACATCTGGTTTCCAAGATGGCTATGGCCAAAAAGCTGAAATCACAGATTTAAGTGGGACTTCACAAACCAGTAGGTGATGTCCTGGTGGCAAGATACCCCTTTTATACTGTCTATGGTCTTCTCTTTAACAGTCAATCCTGTTCTCAGCTATGTGTATAATGCTTAACACAAAGAGCAGAGCACACCGTGAAGTAAAGGCAAACGTAGATATACAATGAGACAAAGGAAAGAAACAAGTGTGACATTAAAAGAAATAAAACACAGTAGAGACTTATGGATATGGGGGGCCATGGATGTGGTAAACACTTAAAAAGACTGTATAACTTTACAAAGCAGTTCTGCTGCTCTCTCACAGACTGCTTCGTTCTGGTAAACTGAAGTCCTTCCTTGAGGCATCTACGAGGTCAGGGATATACACTGGATTTATATTGCATATAGCTTATGAATGGGGTAGTAGTGGGCTCAGGAAAATGACAAGCATGACCTTGCACCACAGCTGAGGAGAATCCTGTAGTGACTGAGACTGAAGTCAGAATGATAAGGATAAGGTCATGTGTACAAAAGCTCATCTGCACTCACAGCCCCCCCCCCCCCCCAATCATCAGAGCTACTCTTTATCTTGACTGAGCTTTCCATCTTTCCATCAGCTGTCAACACAGAAGATATGAGACAGGTGAGAACATTAGCAAAGAAGTACTGATATGCTGTGCTATGTCACTGAGACTTTGGCAACTTTGTTGTATGTGTACTGATAACAAACCTCCTGTCTCAACTTTCAACACTGCAGTTCAGTCTTGCATACTTTCCATTTATGACTGAGCCTGCCTTTGCTTCCATCATTCTTTTTTATAATCTCACATCCATCGACCCCATTTTTATTCATTAAATGTCCCACAAAGGGACACACCGTTAAGAAACACCAGCTTTTTGAACATAAATGTATTTATAGACATTATAATTTATCAAACAACAGTGGCCTTATCAGTAACTGATTCACATAATTAGTTTTGCAAGCAAAATGCTGAACAATTAAGTGTTGCAAAAATGTCCATGAATAATAATAATAATAACAACAATAATAATAATAATAATAATAACAATAACAATAATAATAATAGTGACATATCTCAGTGTCTCCAAAGACATTCCCTCATTTTTGTATTTTAATTTACAACAATTTCTCAATCCATTTTTATAGCTGGCATTAGAGAGCTGAGGTTCACATCAGTTTCTCTGTTGTCCTTAAATACCCTCCTTTATACCCTGTCCTATTTTGACACTGCAAGTTCACTCTGTCTGCTCTCTGCAGTGGGAGCATGGACACATGTTATGTAATGAGTTGGAGTGTGGCTTGTCTATCACGCTCCCACATTTTGTACGTGACCAGGTTCCTCTATTTTCTGCACAGTGGAAAAAAGCAGATAGCTAAACTAGTTAAAGGCAGAGATTAGCAACTTTAGTTTCTTTTAGGAATTCTCCCCATCCTTTTTATTGCTACGTAGCCAAAGTAACAGCCATACAAACTCAAATCATTTAAAGAAAAATGCTACAAAATACATTTGCAGGAGCACTGGTTTTAGCAGCACTCTGCACTGAGTACCAGTGCAGTTTTCAGCTGAGTCAAACCAAATACTTCCTGCACATCTTGCTTGACTCAAAAGAACTTCCTGTTAGAAACGACACACACACACACCCACACAGAAACACCCTATCCTTAAACAAACAGACTTGTTAAAAAAGGGGCTAATAACAGCTCTGTATCTAGCTATGTTACTTCAGTGTTGGATCCCATGACTGATACTTCTTGAGCTTCTATCTGTATGATTAGATTTTTTCCTCCAAAAATATGTGCCCACACACACATAGCTCCAAAATAATTCCCATAACCCTTCTCCAACTGGGTTTCAATTCAAGCAGATAAAACGAGAGGCGGTATTAGAGTTGCCAATCTGCCATTGTAGCTCTCAGTGGGGGTGGAGGGTAGGGGAGAGTGGGACTCAGCAAACAGAATCCCAGCAAGGCCCCACCTAGAGGGGGGGATGACAGAGACAGGCTGGGAGGTAGATCCGCCTGTTATGTCTCTTTTTTCCCCTCCCATTCATTCTTTATGTCCCTCTTTCTTCCGACAGCTTTTGGAGAAGAGGAAAATCCAAAGCAGAACACTTTTCCCCTCTAATGTTCCCCCTCTTTATGACCAAGCAGCGAACCATGTGGTCACACTGGATTGTATGTGGATGGTCTTGTTTGGACAAAGCTCCCAGAACATAAAGATTTCTCAATGCGAAATATCTGTGTGTGCGTTTGAGTGTACAGTATGCGTGTGTATGTTTACTCTTGTTGGAGTTGGGTTGCCAGTGTAGGATTACAGCAGGATGAAAAGGACTCTGTCCTAATCCTCCCCGGAGAGGAAAGCAGAAGAGAAAATTAGGGTAGAGGAGACAAGGAAAGAAAGGATAAGGAAACAAATAGTGGTTGTAAGGACAGAAGAGTGGAGAAGAAGAAAAAAAGCAGAAAGGAAGATCCAATGAGAGAAGGGGAATCAAGAAGAAACAAAACAAGAAGAATGACAGAAGAAAGGAAAGAAATGACTAGACTGGACAAGAAAAGTAAGCAAGGAGCAAGATGGAAATAAGGTTCCTCTGTACATACACAAGACATGTGCATTTAGGTTTAAATTAAGCTTTGCCAAGTTCTCCTTTGAGATAAAGTCCCGGCTCACACAACAAGATCTCAAATTCCAGTTTCTGTTATCAGTTAACTATAAAAATACAACTCAAAGAATCTCTGTAAAATCTTCAACCAACACTTTGACTTTAAGCCCAACTAATCAAGGAAAAAGAAGTGGAGAAAAAAAAAGGGGGGGGGGGGAGGGCAGCATTGCCACTCCTGCCTGCGTTTCTTCATATAGCCAATTCCATCTTAACCTGTTAAACTGGAAATGGGAATATGCTTCGTGAGCAGTCTTGGAAAAACAACCTCTGGCAGCCGTTTGCACTGTATGCAAGATATGAAATAAACCTGTTCAAAAGATAAGAGTGACTGTAAAGCCAATCACTGAAAAAGGGCAGGGCAGGTAAGAGCAAAAATAAAAATTAAGATAAGATAAGACTTTATTGATCCCATGACGGGGATTTTTTTGTGTTACCTCAGCTCAGGTACAGATATCAGAAGGAAAAACAAAAAATACAAATAAGTACAATCAATGAAAAAATAAGTAAGATAATACATTATATACAACGGTAGCACACACAGTATGTGATTATGGATATGGTTGTGGAACTATGCAAGACATAAACTATATAGCTTAACATAACTATTGTACCACTACTATTCCTATGTACAGGGAGTGCAGAATTATTAGGCAAGTTGTATTTTTGAGGAATAATTTTATTATTGAACAACAACCATGTTCTCAATGAACCCAAAAAACTCATTA